CATGGAGTTCCAGATCCTTGTCCTTTCTGAAATTTCCAAAAAAATGAGTTATACAAACAAACAAAATACAAGTCACAAACAGAAACAAAATGAATGCATTATATGATCATTTACCAGGATAGGACACCCCTTCTTGTTATGCCCTACTGTCTACAATGAGAGCATGTCATTGGTGTCCCTTTCCTTGATCTCTTACCAAACTTCTTTTCAGGCTCATCTTCAGCTTTTCTTATATTTTTCTTAGATCTACCAGGCATCTTAGTAATTACAGGTAGCTCAACAGTGGGATTCTGAGTTGATGGCCATATCTCCATGTTGGTTACTGGTTGTATGTAACAACTGAACGCCTTCAGGTATGTTTCTTTCCTGTACCAGTGAACAACATAGTCAGCAGGCTCAAACCTCCTAAAAACTTTGCACATATTGCATGGGAGCATGGTATCCTTTGAGCTGCCATGATCTGTATATTGTTGACAAAGTCAATAATATGTTTGTAAACCCCTTGTTGTATCTCATACCCGGTGTCTCCATTCCATTTAAATTCATGTCTAACTGCATATAGAGATTATTCCTCTGTGTACCCCATTGCCATAGGAGATACATCAGAAATTTACCGTGTTGCAAATTCTCTCATGGCAGTCATCCTCTCCAACACCTTCACTCTAATCTCTTCTAACATGGTTATGATAGACTTGTGCCTAGCAGACAGGATCTAACTATTAAAAGTCTCACACATGTTGCTCTCCACATAATCACATTTACTCCACTCTTTAAAGAATTCTCTATACCAAGATTGTTTGGGGTATCACAGTAAATCCTCAATGATCTCACTGTCACCCAATTCTACCAACTCATCTATCTTAGCCTTGAGATATGCTTCAAATGAAGCTCTTGCACAGGCCCAGAACTTCTTCCTTCTTTCCCCACCTTTCCACTTTTGTTTCTAGTTTCTCCATATGTGTCTTGGACACATTCTGTGCTCAACATTTGGCATCAACTCAGACACATATTGAACAAGTCCCTTAGGCAACAAGAAAAAAGTTAGAATATCAGAAACATATATAAAGTAATTATAGGAAGAATAAAAAGAAATATATACCTTTTGCATATCAGAAATGATGGTTAGCCCTTCACCTTGGGATTCTGTGAGCTGCAAATCATGCATCAGGCACCTAAAAAGCCATGACCATGTGTTCTTTGTCTCCTTTTCAACCACTGCCCAGGAAACATGATACATTTGGTTGTTACCATCTTTACCAATACATGATAGTAGCTCACCTTTACACAGATCCTTCAAAAATGCTCCATCAAAGCCAATAAGATTTCTACATCCTTCTATATAACCTACTTTGCAAGCATGTCAACAAATGTAGATCCCCACAAACACCTTTTTACCAGGTATTTTCTCCTTTGAAGTCTTCAACACAACAGTGCTGCCATGGTTTGTATATCTCAGCATGTCAGTATAATCATATATTCTTGCAAACTCCTGCTTGTAATCACCCTGATACTTACCCATGACTTGATGTTTAGCCCTGGCACAGATGGATTTCCCACATACACACCATACTTTGTCCTAAATCAAATCATGCAACTTCCTAAGCTTTATGTCAGGTTGGTTGATAATCTTGTCCTTGAAATGTTTAGCTACCCATGCTGTATTAGCCATCTTGTTTCTGGTTGCTCTGAAACACTTATGAACAGGATAGTAGCTGCTTATAATGAAATTCCCTTTGTGTCCCTCCAAGCTTCTCAAAATATGTCATCTGCATCTTGTTGAGTTCACATATTTTGCCCTAACCCTATGTTGCTCATTAGGCCTCAACTTAATTTGAACTCTCCTTTGACAACATAATCTTGCAAAGCAGTTTTGAACTAGTTAACACTTTCAAAAACCATTTCCAACTGGAAACAAATTTTCTTGCAAGCAGTATCAGAGTATATTTTGTTGCTGTATCTTCTTGGTTGAGGTTATGTCCCCCATCTTCTTCAAATACTTCATCATCTGCATCCTCACTACCTGGATCTGAACTGTCTAGGTATTGCTCATCCCCCGCAACTTCCCAGCATATTTGGAACCCCTATCCTTATACATATCTTAAATACTAGGTTCTATACCTATAGGTCCACTAGGTATATCATCAGTATTCACTTCACTAGACCTTAATTTACTACTCTTCTCATTCACTTTAGCCTGTCTAGTCGCAACAACTTCAGGTTCTAGATCACTTGTCACTCTAAGAATATCCTCATCAGCACCATTGATGTGTCGTAGAATTGCGGCACTTTTGATACTAATTACATAGGCTTTAGCTCGTCTTTTAAAGCATTTTAAGTCAATTCTTATGTAGTTTTGGTGTTTTGCAACAAACTAGACTTGAAGAACCAGGAACACGAAAAAGATGACAAAAACCCATAGAAAGGCTGAAATGCGGCAGGTTTGTGACCTCAAAAGTGAAGTGCGGGCCGCAGACCAACCGCATAGTGAAGCAGACCAACCCAGTTCTGAGAGTGGATTTTGCAGTCCTTTGTGCGGTCGCATAACACTTGCACGGACCACATAATGACCGCACAAATGCAAAAAGAGTTCTGTGAGAATGACTTTGCGGTACCAAATGCGGTCACGAAATCGATGTGCGGATCGCATAATAGAAGTGCGATTGAAACTAGACAATTGGGCAATCAATTCTGCGAAGGAATTGCAGATATGCGGGCCGCGAAACTGTTTTGCGACCCATTCTGCGATCGTAGACGTGATCTGCAGGGCTATTATTGTCATTTTTTGACCCCCGACTTTTATCCCATTATAAATAGAATAACTAGGGTTTTTGTGGGACACCTTGTCTGAAAAAGAGGCTACACTTGGAGCATTGAAATACACCATTATTTTGGAAGCTTTTGAAGAGAGAATCTTGTCATTTTTTTAAAGCTTTATGGCTTTATTTATTGCTTTGTTCTTGGATTCTAGTATGAGTAGCTAGTTTTAAATACTAAGGTTGTGGACCCTAAATGGGCGTAATGTTAATGGGTGTTTACCATTGAATGTAGATATAATGGTTGGTTGGTATTTATTCATTTCTCATGTTTCATTTAATGTTGATGGTTGCGAACATTGACTAATGCCATTTCACTCTATCTTTACTTGGAAAAGTGAGATAGGGTTTGGTAGAATTGAATAGCAAAAACTCAAGGCTTTAAACCTTGTTTAATAGAATCGCTTAGGAAAAAGTGGGTTCTATTTGGCATAAATTGGTTTTTCGTAATTGTAACTCTTTTATATTTTAGAAAATCATAAAGAGATAATACTGCCTAACTATTGGGAAATATTGGGTAGTCATTTAGGAACCATTTGCATATCAAAGAACCTTCCATTAGAAATATACCATATTAACACCGATAGTATTATATTCCATTGATGGGGACACAACCTTGGTTTCCTTAATTAAGTTAATTACATTCTCATAACAAAATAGTTCTCTTAATAATTCACAATTACAACACTCTTTTTAAGCTAACGGAGTAGGATTACGACTTAAGTCAAGTTTCACACTATTCAAGTAATCTTTTCACACCTATTCCCTGTGGGATTCGACCCCAGCCTAGTTGGAATATTATATTTGACATCGACTGCCTTGCAGCTTTTATTTAGGTTTAATTTGAGCGTATCAAATTTTGGTGCTGTTGCCGAGGAATGCGATTTTGAAATTACTAATTAGTGTGTGCTTTACTTTACGTCTTCTTCTATTCCATCACATTTTGCTTGCTTTGCTTGGTGTCACTAGGTAAACATGGGCGAGCCGGAAGAAGAAAATATTTTTGCAGATATAGATAAGTATATTGAGGATAGAAATGCCATTGTCTCTCCAAGAGTTGATGCTGCCACCTTCAAGGTGGAACACAGTCTAATCCTAATGCTCAAGGCAGAGGGGTTTTTCCGAAATTCCACAGATGATGATCCGACACAACATCTCAGAATTTTTGGGTGTGTGTGAGATGCACAAGCAGAATCACGTCTCAGATAATGCCCTAAGGTTGAGGTTTTTCAAGTACTCTTTAACTGGAGAGGCAAGACAATGGATCCAAAATCTACCGCCTAATTCCATTTATACTTGGCCCGAAATTGTCTAAGCTTTCCTAGAAAAATGGTTTCCGCAGAGCAAGAAGTCCGAGCTCCGGGATAAAATTTTCTTCTTTAAGAAATTAGCGGGAGAGCGTCTACATGAGGCATGTGATCCATATAAGCTATATTTAGTGAGGTCGCCGAATCATGGTTTACCGGATACTATCTTATTGGAGAAGTTTTACATGGGCTTGGATCCTACGAATCAATCCATAGCCAAAAATGCAGCTGATGGATCCTTTATGGATTAGCATTTGCAAGGGTCACACAAATCCTTGACAAGATGGCAGAACATAACCAAGCTTGGCACTCAGAAGACACCACAGGAGGAATTGCATATGGTACTCCTTTCTTGACCAACATGATTAAGGATAATCAAGAAAGAGATCAAGTAATTGCCGGGCTTTCCACCAATGTCAATGTGTTGACGAAGATGTTCACTGAAAGCCAAACAAAAAAGTTGAACGTGGTGGAAGATGTGCAACCCATGTCAAATGAGGATTATGAAGAAGCAAATTATGTCAACAATTCTCAAGGAGGTTATCAAAGACAACCCTACCAAGGTTCAGGACAACAAAACCAATGGAGGTCTAACCCGCAAGGGCAAGGCAACCAACAGTGCCGAAGTGACCAAGGTAGTTCAGATCAAGGGAATTGGAGTACCAACAACAACAACTTTTAAAATCGAAGTTCAAACCCCTATGTTCCACCAAAGGGGCAATATTCTTACTCTCCGCATTGGAAGGAAAGTTCTTCAAGTGAGTCCAAGTTAGAAAACATGCCTAAACGAGTATTGCAAAATCAAGAAAGATCCGACACTTCAATGAAGAATTTGACCGAGCTTGTGGGCTCTCACATAGCATCCATACAAAAGTTATAAATGCAAATGAGAGATCTATCAAGAGAGCAAAATCTGAAGCAGAAGGGCACGCTCCCGAGTGACACAATTGCAAATGCAAAAGGTTGTGGGAGTGGTCCGACTTCTCATTGTATGGAAATCACAACTCGAAGTGGGAAACTACTTCAAGGAGAGAACGAACAAGTGGTCCAAGTGGAATATTCTGAAGAAGAAGTTGAGGCACAAGCTGAGGTGCCAAATTGTTGTTGAAGCTGAAAGACTCCGGAAGAAGGTGAGAATCCAAGAAGTGAACCATGAAGAGGTTAAGAAAAGGTAATAGAGACGCCATAAACTCTAGCACCAATTCCTAGGCCTCCTCCTCCTTTCTCTCAAAGACTTGTTAGGAAGATTGATGATAGCAAACTCGAGAAATTCTATGACATTCTCAAGCAATTATCGGTGAACATTTCATTTGTGGAAGCATTTCAAGAAATGCCGGGTTTTGGTAAGTACATGAAGGACTTGATCACTAAAAAGAGAACCACCAAGAATGAAGTGGTGAATGTGACTCACCGGATTAGTTCCATTATTGCAACAACCACCATCCAAAGGAAAGAGGACCAGGGAGCCTTCACCATTTCATGCACTATTGGGTTGCGCAATTTTGCACGAGCCCTTTGTGATAATAGGGATAGCATCAACTTAATGCCTCTTGCTATTTACAAGCAAGCGGGGTTGGGTAAGCCTAGGTCTACAAGTATGAGGTTGCAAATGGCCGACCGTTCAATAAAGAGACCAGTGGGAATTGTTGATGATGTTCTTGTGAAAGTGGGGAAGTTTCTCCTCCTTGCCGACTTTGTTATTCTCGAGTGTTCTGTTGATAAAGAAATCCCTATCATCTTACTACCGAAGAGCACTCATGAATTCGGAAGAAAATGAGATCAAGTTCGGTGTTAATGATGAAGAGGTTATTTTTCAAGCGAGTAAGGGTATGAAATTTCCACATGCATACGAAAGTATATCAGTCATTGATGTTGTTGATGAGGTAGAGGATGCAAGGTGAATATGGAAGAGGAGTGCCTTTGGTGAGGCATTGGTGGCTATTTTGGTAAATTTTTATGGTGAAGACATGGAAGGATACATGGAATCGGTGAATGCATTGGAAGGGCTTGGGTCCTACACTTATGCACCAAAGATGCTTTCTCTTGACCTAGAGAATAGAGTCATTCCTCTTGCTAAGCCTTCAATTATCGAGCCACCACAACTTGAGCTCAAGCCACTTCTACCGCACTTAAGGTATAAATTTCTTGTCTCTAATGAAACTCTACCTGTGATATTTTCTTCTTTGTTAAATGATTTGCAGGTTGAACACTTGTTGAACACATTAAGGGAGCACATACATGCCATTGGGTGGACTATAGCGAATATCCGAGGGATTCCCGCCGAAATTTGTGAGCACAAAATACAATTGGAGCAAGAGATCAAACCTAGCGTGGAGCATCAAAGAAGGTTAAACCCTTCCATGCAAGAGGTGGTGAAGAAAGAAATGATAAAATGGTTAGATGCCGGGGTTGTATATCCCATCGCCGATAGTCCTTGGGTGAGTCCAGTGTAATGTTTGCCAAAGAAAGGAGTCATGACCGTCATTCAAAATGACAAAAATGAGCTCATCCCAACGAGGACGGTGACCGGGTAGAGAGTTTGCATGGACTACCGGAAGCTCAATAGTGCTACTTGCAAAGACCATTTCCCTATGCCTTTTATTGATCAATGCTTGATCGGCTAGCGGGAAGGTAATTTTATTTCTTCTTGGATGGTTATTCTAGCTACAACCAAATCAACATCACCTTAGAGTGATCAAGAGAAGACAACATTTACATGCCCGTATGGGTCTTTTGCTTTTAGTCGGATGCCATTTGGGCTATGCAATGCCTCGGCTACCTTTCAACGATCCATGATGTCAATCTTCTCGGACATGGTGGAGGATTTCTTAGAGGTGTTCATGGATGAATTTTCTGTAGTTGGTGATTCCTTTGAGCTTTGCCTTGACAACCTTAGGCAAGTGCTCAAAAGATGTGAGGAAACAAACCTTGTGCTAAATTGGGAAAAATGTCACTTCATGGTGGACGAGGGTATTGTTCTGTGCCACAAAATTTCCAAGCAAGGAATAGAGGTTGATCGGGCAAAGATCGAGATCATTTCCAAACTTCCTCCTCCCACTTTGGTAAAAGGCGTTCGAAGCTTTTTAGGGCATGCCGGTTTTTATAGGCGATTTATCAAAGACTTCTCAAAAATTGCAAGTCCCATGTGCAAGCTCCTTGAAAAAGATGCAAAGTTTGATTTCGATGAAAAGTGCCTCAAAGCTTTTGAGGAATTGAAAGCGAGGCTCACCACGACACCTATTCTCGATTGGTCTCTTCCATTTGAACTCATGTGTGACACCAGTGGTGTAGCTATTGGAGCGGTACTTGGTCAACGGCATAACAAGATTCTTCATCCTGTCTACTATGCAAGCAAGACACTCAATGGCATACAAATGAATTACACTATGACGGAGCAAGAACTGCTTGCTATTTTCTATGCTTTTGAATAATTCTGGGCCTATTTGTTGGGCTCCAATGTGATAGTCTACACTGATCATGCCGCTTTTCGCTGCCTTATGGCGAAGAAGGATGCTAAACCAAGATTGATTAGGTGGATTCTTTTGTTACAAGAGTTTGACTTTGAAGTCAAATATCGGAAAGGAATAGAGAATCAAGTTGCAGATCACTTATCTAGGCTTGAAGAGGCAGGGAGACAAAATGAAGATCGTGAAATTGATGATGCCTTCCTAGATGAGCACATATTGGCATTGTCTAGCACCTTCACTCCTTGGTATGCCGACATCGCCAACTTCTTGGTTAATGACCTTATCCCCGACGGATTGGAAGTTTATCAAAAGAAAAAGTTCTTGCGGGAAAATATTGCTTTATTCTTGGATTCTAGTATGAGTAGCTAGTCTTAAATACTAAGGTTATGGACCCTAAATGGGCGTAATGTTAATGGGTGTTTACCATTGAATATATATATATAT